CGAGGTATTAATACCTGTAAATAAAAGTTTTTTATTTTTATTATTAAATAAAAAAAAATTGACCCAAATTATTAAGTAGGTTGTCGAGAAATTGCAGTCGTAAAAACTTGTAAAAAAAATGATTAACATTGTGTAATTATAAAATTCCGGTGATCACTGGCAGGGGAGTGTACGCTATCCGATATCAGATTCGAGCAGTAAGTATAAATTTTTTTTTCTGCTTATATGAAAAACTGCACTAATTGCTGAATTTATTTGCAGTCTTAATAAATTTTAGATTTTTGTGTAATACTGGTAAATGCCGAATACCTCATTCTAGTGGGGCCTGGGATTTGCTTCGAAAAAAAGCCAAGGAATTATTTGAACCACTTTCGACAGCTGAAATTATCTTTGTTGTTACGAGAAATTCTAATGGTCAAAGCAACTTAGAGGAAAAAATTAAGGACGAATATTTATTTATGAATTTATTGACCCGAACAAGACCAAACGAATCAAACGAACGTATCTTAGATCTTAAAATACAAATCAAAGGAAAAAAGGCGTTCGGAGATTGGACTTTAAAAAAAGTGGGCAGCGAAATTTATAAAAATACTTTTACCTCTATTGACTCAATACTACGGAAATTAAGCTTGGAAGATTTCCCTGAATTGAATCTGTCATTTAGTGACGACGAAATTGCATACTTTATTAAACAACTTGAGGACAAGGCATTCGCATTTAATAATAAAATTAGCACAAATGAAGCTACAGTACGGGAATACGTATCAATTTTTATGACTATTGCTGTGAAACATATTCGAAAATATAAAGATTCGACAACAGAATTAAATGTGGAGCCCGAACTTGATGGGTCTCGAGGTTATGGCAATTTGGACTATGAAGTTGTTATACAGGATGTTCCGGTATTGATTAATGAGGCCAAAAAAACAAGACATGGAAAAGGGAATTGCTCAAAATTTGGTACAAGTATATACTGCAGCCGAGGTAAGATCCTGAAGTAATTGACTTTAATTATTTTTAGAGTTTTAACTTATAAAATTAACGTCAGATCTTGTTAGACATTGTTAAGAAAACGAAAACGTGAAAAAGTGGATTCTTTACTTCCTATGATGTTCGGTATAGTAACAATGGGACATGTATGGAGATTCATCCGTTGGACTAGTACACTTCAAGATCCAAGAGCCGAAATTACTCCTGAAATTGTTTGTAACTGCATTGGTAATAATTATCAAGAAGCAAAAAATGTGGTATCACATATTGCACGTTTATTACAAGCACAATCGGATATATTAAAAAATGACAATAATCAGGATAAAGAATGAGATAGTAAACGTCATAAACTTGAACTTGATTAATATAATAATTTTACAATTTATAGTATCCTTCGGATAGTATATGCTTCCCAGAAATTAACAATAAACTGTTTTATCATTCACAACAACGGTTTATAATTTTTTGTGCTTAATTGTTTCAACTTATATTTATTAATGCATGTACAAAGTATTGTTTATCTATATGTTACTTTTTGAAGTAATTTTGTTTTTCTTTACATGCGAGTGTTACTCCATCGTAATATATTAACAGAAAAAATTTATTAATGAAATATATAAATTATTTCAGGATCGATTCAATATATGGCCCAGTAATCACGTGAACGTGACCTCAAGGTCACAGGCACGTAAAAATTGGAAGCGATAATATCATGAATCTCTTCTGCAGATAAATAAGTCTTAATCTTACAGGCATTTCAATGAATATATGAAACAACGCAAATAAAAATGACTAATTTCAGAAATGAAAAATGGCAATTTCTACCTGTGCCCCGTCTCACAAATAAATTATGCATGATAAGCCTTGCAAGGTGATACAGATAAATTTCATGGAATTATTCTAACACGTAAACATATTAACTATTAATAAATATCTTTGATGTGGACAATTTTTTATTAAACGTTAATTATTCGAGGTCCTCTTTTAAAATTATCACATTCACATCGCCTATATATTCCATCCGCTACTTTTTTGCATTTTTTGCAATATAGATGTGAATGATGATTGCATTCGTCACAAATCTTACATTCATGCTTCCACCCTCTAAAGATATGCCACTTTTCAAAGTGATTTTGTCTTTTTTTATTTGTAAGTTTGTTATTTCGATTTTTTATCAT